TGTGGAATCGATTTGTGAAATGTGATCTTAAGGATCATACGGATCGATTTGTGAATGCATAATAATTGTATGCGATTGTATGTGAAGAATGCATGAGAACATATTGTGAATATGTGTGCATTGCTTGATAAATATGGTGATGATATTGAATTGTGAATGCATAATAATTGTATGCGACTGTATGTGAAGAATGCATGAGAACATATTGTGAATATGTGTGCATTGCTTGATAAATGTGGTGATGATATTGAATTGTGAATGCATAATAATTGTATGCGATTGTATGTGAAGAATGCATGAGAACATATTGTGAATATGTGTGCATTGCTTGATAAATGTGGTGATGGTATTGAATTGTGAATGCATAATAATTGTATGCGATTGTATGTGAAGAATGCATGAGAACATATTTTGAATATGTGTGTATTGCTTGATAAATATGGTGATGATGTTGAATTGTGAATGCATAATAATTGTATGCGATTGTATGTGAAGAATGCATGAGAACATATTGTGAATATGTGTGCATTGCTTGATAAATATGGTGATGGTGTTGAATTGTGAATGCATAATAATTGTATGCGATTGTATGTGAAGAATGCATGAGAACATATTGTGAATATGCGTTCATTGCTTGATAAATGTGGTGATGGTATTGGATTGTGAATGCATAATAATTGTATGCGATTGTATGTGAAGAATGCATGAGAACATATTGTGAATATGTGTGCATTGCTTGATAAATGTGGTGATGTTATCGAAAGTATGAATACTTTGATTATTATAAAATGTGTTGTGTGTGCAATCATGTTATAATTCTTATGTGATGAATTATTTGAGAATGCATGAGATTAAGATGCGAGAACGATCTTAAGTGCATTTGGTTGTTGATTGCATACGGATCATTTGGTCAAGAGGCAATGCTTGCTAGTTTCGTGGAGACTAATGAATTCTCCCAATCCTAGAAGAGTGAGTTTGAAAGCTTAGAGAACAAACTTTTGTTGTTATCGGTCTAGAGGACGGACCCGGTTTAAGTGTAAAAACCGAAAAATGATAACAAGTGTTGGTACCACATGGCATGAGTTGCATTGAGTTACATTGAGTCACATGGCATAGAGATAAATGTTGTGTGAATGTATGCATATGTGTATGTTATGTGGATTGATGAGAATTATGGATGTGTGCATGATAAATATGCTTGGTGCTTATTCCATATTTGTTTATATATATATATATATATATATATATATATATATATATATATATATATATATATATATATATATATATATATATATATATATATATATATATATATATATATATATATATATATATATATATATATATATATATATATATATATATATATATATATATATATATATATATTGTGATATATATGATGGGTTATGATGAATTGTGATGAATAAACATAATTGTAAATGTTTATGTGGAATGATGTGAATTGTGGATATATGCATGATAAATATGCTTGGTGTTATATGTATATGTGTGTGTGTGTATATATATATATATATATATATATATATATATATATATATATATATATATATATATATATATATATATATATATATATATATATATATATATATATATATATATATATATATATATATATATATATATATATATATATATATATATATATATATATTGTGTGATGAGTTGTGGTGAAGAAACATGCATGTGTATGTTTGTGTACAATGAGGTGAATTGTGAATATGTACATTGTGATGTATATGAGTGGATTATGATAAAATGTGGTGAGATCGTAGTGTATGCATATTTTTATGTTAATGTACATATATGATTATATGCATTGTTATTATGATAATATTTCTCACCCTTCTGCTGGAATGATGTCCTATCTGACATCGTGCAGGTATCGAGAATAGAGCTTCTCGTAGTTGCATGATCGTTGTTGGTGTAGCCATTTAGTAATTTAGTTATATTGGGTCGAGTCATGCTCTGGTCATGTAACACTGAGATCGTTTGGTTTATATTTTAGAGATACATTATGTATTCTATGTTATGTTTTTATATTCATTGGAATATTATGATGTTGGCCTTGGTGCCTAAGTAATGTTGAAGTATGTGATGAATCTGAATATTCAGTTAAGAGAATTATGTTATAAAATGAATCCGCTGCTACATGCAAAGTGAAATTGTGAGAAGCATGATTATTTATTATAAGTATTAATGAGCATGACAGGTGGTTTTGATGTTTTGAAAGTTATGTGTGATGCCCTTTTGTGAATGCATGAAAATTTACTCTGATTATTCGTATATTTTCCATGGGGTTTAGAAGGGTGTTACACCGAGCACTTTGGTTTTGAAGTCTTCACTAAAAGCGGATATAAAGATTGGAAGCATGCATCTCAATGCTTGAAAGATAATGTTGGTAGTCATAATAGTTTTCACAACTCATGTGTCAAGCACTACGATGATTACAATAATCAAAGACAAAGTGTGGCAAGTAAGTTTGTTAAAGCAACCAAGGAATCAGAAGAATTGTATAAGATTCGTTTAACTTGTACTGTAGATTGTTCAAGATATCTCATTGCACAAGGCATGTCTTTCCGTGGCCATGATGAATCCTCTATTTCTCTAAATAAGGGCAATTTTAGAGAGATGGTAGATTGGATAAAAGTTAAGAATGAACAAGTGCAAGATGCTTTTGACCGTGGTGGAAAAAATTGCACAATGATTTCCGGTGAAATTCAAAAGGAGCTTGCAATGTGTTGTGCACATGAAGTTACCAAGGTGATTTTGGGAGAACTTGGTGATAGACAATTCTCCGTGCTTATTCATGAGTCACGTGATATATCCGTCAAAGAGCAAATGACGGTGATATTGAGGTTAGTAGTTGTATTTTCCAATTTCTAATTTTCATTACCTATTATTCTTTATGCTGCCAAGTAAACTTGTCGAATTTGTTTTAGGTTTGTGAACGACAAAGAGAATGTTGTGGAACGATTTATTGCTCTACATCATGTCAAAGATACGACATCTGAAGGATGCTATTTATGGTATTCTTGATAAGTACACGTTATCTATTTCAAGGATACGAGGCCAAGGATATGATGAAGCTTCAAATATGAGAGGTGAATTTAATGGTTTGCAAAGAAAAATTCTAGATGAAAACCCTTATGCTTTCTATGTCCATTGTTATGCTCACCGTTTGCAATTGGTTGTTGTGTCTGTTGCTAGTAGTTGCTCATCTATTTTATGATTTCTTTGAGTACATCTCCTTGATTGTGACCACAACAAGTGCATCTTGTAAGAGGAGGGATGCTTTGACGGAGGCACAACACCAAGATATTTTAAATAAACTTGAGAGTGGTGAGATATTTAGAGGAAGGGGCTTGCACCAATCATCTAGTCTCATTAGACCCGAGGATACTAGATGGGGTTCACATCATACTACATTGCTTCGTTTGGATCAAATGTGGTCCTCCGTGTTAAATGTGCTTAGTATGGTTGATGAAGATGGACGTGGACCATCTCAAGCAGCAGGTTTGATAGAAAAAATGGAGAGCTTTAAATTTGCTTTTATTTTGAAGTTAATGTTAAAGTTGTTTGGTATTAAAAACGAGCTTTCACATGTCTTGCAAAGAAAAAGATCTTAATATTGTGATTGCCATGGAATTAGTTGATGTTGTTAAAGCTCGGCTGGCCATAATGAGAGATAGTGGTTGGGATGATTTATTTGCTGATGTCCAAGAATTTTGTGTTGCTAAAGGTATTCCGGTACCAAATATGGATGACGAAATACCGGTTCGGGGTCGTTCAACGGTGGAAGGAAGAACTATCACTAATCTTCATCATTACCGTGCAACGATTTTTTATGTTGCTATTGACAAAATATGTGTGGAGATGGATCACCACTTTAGTGAAGGAAGTAACATTATCCTTGATTGCTTCTCATGTCTTGATCCTAAGAACTCTTTCTCCAAGTTTGATGTTGATAAGCTTGCTCGTCTTGCGGATATTTATCATGTAGACTTTTCTGATGATAACCGTGGAACAATAAGAGATCAACTTGACACTTATGTTCTTCAAGTGAAAAGAAATGCTCCAGTTCCCACTTGTGAAGATGTTCAAGGTTTGGCTATAAAGATGGTTCAAACTGAGAAACATTTGGTATTTCCATTGGTTTACAAACTTATTGAGTTAGCTTTGATATTGCCGGTGTCGACAGCATCCGTTGAAAGAACTTTTTCAGCAATGAAGATTATCAAGTCTAAATTGCGTAATAAGATCAACGATGTGTGGTTCAATGACTTGATGGTATGTTACACCGAGCGGGAGATATTCAAGTCACTTGATGATGTTGATATTATTCGAACATTCACAACAAAGAAGTCTCGAAAAGGACATTTGCCTCGTAATTTTATTTAACATGCTATTGTAAGATTATGTTTCATGATCTCTTTCATCTCTTTTATTTTAGGCAATTTATATATTATAATGTAAATTTGCGGTCTTAAAATTTTTTGCCCAAGTTATATAATTTTTCTGGCTCCGCCAATATATATATATATATATATATATATATATATATATATATATATATATATATATATATATATATATATATATATATATATATATATATATATATATATATATATATATATATATATATATATATATATATATATATATATATATATATATATATATATATATATATATATATATATATATATATATATATATATATATATATAAAATAGGAAGGTGTAGTAAATAAGACAGAGCATGTGAATAGCCGCGGCCGCATCAATCTCTTGCATCTTTTTCAAATGAAAATTTGGGCCAGTCCGACTTTGTATTCATACTGATAACCTTGTCCAGTACAACTCACAAACGGCTCGCCATTCTCTCTCTCTTCTCGCGTGACTCTCATCTTCACCCTCAACAAAATCATCACAAGGTATGCAATCCCTCTATCTCTCTGATAATTAACAATGACAGCTACATCTATTTTACACTTCCTTTCTCGTCTCCGTTTCATCGCCAAACCCCAACCTTTTCCTCTCCCATCACCAATTTCAACCCCTTTCCATTTTTCCCTCACCTCCAAAACCAAGGTTCCAACATCAATTAATCGTTTTTCATCGATTCTCACAATGTACTCCGCTTATTTTCTCATAGCTCATTTTCCTTTTGCAGCAACCGACTCGGTTTCGATTTTTCTCAATGGCTGCTTCCGAGCCGAAGGAATCACCGGCTAACAACCCTGGTCTGCATGCAACTATAGATGAAGCTACTAAGGGTTACTTTATGCAACAAACTGTGAGTTTTTTTTTTCTTTCATATTTTGTAATTCTACTTGTTATCGTTATTATTGCTTGCATAATTTTGAATTTCTAATGTTTTGTTTCTGTTGCAGATGTATAGAATCAAAGACCCCAAAGTTAGCCTTGATTTTTACTCTCGCATTTTGGGCATGTCGTAAGTGGTTTTCTCGGAACAAATATATTGTGTCTAGTGCAAGACATATATTTGGATTGGTGGTATGTGATGAAATGGAATGGAGTGGAGTGGAGCGTGGATTGATGGTTTGTGATAGAATGGAATGGAGTGATAAGTTATCACATTCCATTGTTTGGATTTACAAATAATGCATAAAGCGGTGTGAAACATGATGAAATCAATTCCATCTTGTTCCATGCAATCCTTCAATTTTCATTCCACTCAATTTGGGGTGTATGCAACGGAATGAACTAATTAGTTATGTTCCATTCCGTCAAATTCACAACAATACCCAAACAATGGAATGGAATATCTGATCAATTCCTCTCCGTTCCACTTCCACTCCATTCCATTAGGTTCCGCTCCGCTCGGTTCTTGTCCATCAATCCAAATGCATGTTGGCTAAATTAACCTAACTTGGAATTGAATGACCTGCTAGAAATGTAGTTTCTTTTGAATTATATGTTTCAGTTGACACTGCTGAGACCACTCTTTTAAAAACCAAACAAGGCCAAAAATGCGGTCGAACCTTTCAAATAATCTAATTGCAATGTCGGTCCATGGTTCAATTGGTTGAATTGTCTAGTTTGGTTCAACTTTTAAAACATTGGCTGACTATTGACAATGCCATCACTTTTTGAAAACTGACTAAAATTTGTTGGTTTGTTTAGTTTGCTCAAGAGATTGGATTTTCCTGAGTTGAAGTTCAGCTTGTACTTTATGGGGTATGAGGTATGGTTTATATTGTTATTTGCTAGGGAAAATTTAGTTTTATGAATTGTATTCTGTGAAGTATGGGTACTCCATTTTAAATAAAGTACCGGTGAGTGTACGTGTACGGGGTACGCGTACAGTACGCACGAAGCCGTACCAAAATTTTTTTTTTTTTTAAACCTGGTACACCAACCGGTACACATTGGGTACCGCGTACCCAATTTTTAAAACTTTTTTCGAATGGTATAATTTGGGTTTTTTACTGAGTAAAAATAATGTTAATTATTTTATTTATTCATTCATTGAAAAGGAATAAGCTCAATCTAAAGGGGGCTGATAATTTAGTTTTTGTTCATACAAATCTCTGTCTTCTCTCGAGAAAGAGTAAGGTTTATAATGAAGGAGCAACAAAAATGTGGGATATTGATAGAAATGAATGATATCTATTTGATGGAACTGATATTCTTAAAGTTGCTAGTCTTTTTCTCAGTGAACTTGAACTAGAAGCCACTCTTTTTAATGATATTGAAGAGGAAAATTTAGATGTTCAACCATGATAATTTAGTTTTTGTTCATACAAATCTCTGTCTTCTCTCGAGAAAGAGTAAGGTTTATAATGAAGGAGCAACAAAAATGTTGGATATTGATAGAAATGAATGATATCTATTTGATGGAACTGATATTCTTAAAGTTGCTAGTCTTTTTCTCGGTGAACTTGAACTAGAAGCCACTCTTTTTAATGATATTGAAGAGGAAAATTTAGATATTCAACCATGATTTTATGATTTATTGATACTTTTTAAGTGTGATTTATTGATACTCTTTATTGGTGTTACTTAAATAATATAATTTCTTTGTTATTTTTATAATTGTATTTAAAAAAAAATTATACTAACGTACCCGTACCATAGTATTTTTAAAAATGGTACTCCATACCAGTACCCGTATCGGGTACCGGGTACGTATCCGTACCTATGCAACGCAGATTGTATTACTAGATTTGAATTTTGCATGTTGGCACTATTAAAGGAATGCTTATAAGTTCATGCATGACATATCGCCTTAACTCCTGAGTAGTTTTATGAGTAGTTTTATTTTCAGTGTGCTCTTAAAACTTTTTGTTGCATTTTTTTATTGTTCAGGATACATCAGAAGCTCCAACTAACCCTGTTGATAGAACAGTTTGGACCTTTGCTCAAAAGGCTACAATTGAATTGACACAGTAAGGAATATGAATATAAATTTTTTTGATTGCTTTTTCTCTTTGCGTCTTATCTGACAATATCGTAATGTACAGTAATTGGGGCACTGAAAGTGATCCAGAGTTCAAAGGGCACCACAATGGCAATTCCGATCCTCGTGGTTTTGGTAAGTGATACCTCATTTGGTTTGATATAGAGTTCACTCCCAAAGTCTTGGTCATTTTTCTTGATTTGATGACATTTTTATTAGGATCATCCAATTCATAAATCAAAGATCATGGTTCAGCGCAAGTTAATCAGCCAATGATTTGTATTATATGATGAATTGCAAAGGACAGTGAATCATGTGATTCATGCATGAATAAGTTTGATTTGTATCTCACGAGATATGGATTGCATGGTTCAGTGATATGTTGTGTCTTTACTTTGCTATTTTTCTTTTACCAATTCTCATCATAGATATTGAAAAACAAAATTAAATTATTACAGAAAAAAACTGTTGGGGGAAGTATTAAATGCACTCTATTCATTGTTTCACTGTTTTTTTTCCCCATTTGTTTTGAAATATGGGATTTGTATAAGCAATGTCAATTAGTCATTTCCTCATATGCAGGGGTTTTAACAATAACTATAACACTGCACACTGTATTTGGATTATACCTTTTACTCTGTTTTTCATTTTGTTTATTAATGGTATATAATCTCTTTAGGCTTATGGTTAAGTTGTTTTGTCTATTCCTAAATTTAAAATTACTACACCAAGCAATACATCATATATGTCATTTATTTCAAGCATTTTTTTTGGAATAAAGTATTACTTTCAAGCATTTTTTTATTTGTGCTTGAATCTCATTTATTCAATAAAATTTATGATTCACAATTTAAAAAGTTAGTTTGGTGATTCATGATTTGAATTGTGAATTTATGATTTAGTATTATGTTTGCTGGTGTACACTTCAAGTCTGTTATCATGAAAAATTGTTGACTATTATTCTTGCCTTCAGAAGCTCTTAGTTGGAAAATATTCAGTCGTGTATACATTTTATTAACCTTTCTCTCATACACCGTGACACAGTGGTAGTGCATGTTTGATTCCTTTAAACAGAATTGTCATTATTTTAGGTATACAGCCTACTAAATGGTTAATTTAGTAGGCCCTACCTTTTGGAATATGTAGTGCATTTCCTGAGTTGGTTTTGGTATGATATGCATTGTTCTAAGCTTGGTTTCTAGGTTATCAAATAGATATTAAAATCAAATACTGAATTGCCATGCTTATTTTTTAATTAGGAATTGTAATTTTGTAAGTCATACTGAGTGATGTATAGTGTTCTGTGTAATAGTTTTATAGAGGAATTGACAAATTGATCTAGCCGTGGCTCAAAACAAAACCATATACCATGAGCTATAACTATGAGTCATAGCTGATCCTGATTTATTTGTTAAGCTCAGTTACATTTAAACCAATATTTTAAATAAATACTTGCTGTTTAATTTATTGATCATGTAATTATCATTATTTTAAAGTTTTTTTATGCATTCTTCCCCCAAAAATGCTGGTAGACTTAAATTATGAAATTTTCCATTTCGCTCTTGTAACCTATACTTTCACTTCATTAATTAACACGTCTATAATTAATTTTTTTACTGCGATTTAATTTCTACATTTTCTACTCTTACTTTCATGTCATCCACTTGGATGCGTTTTATCTCCTCTCTTCCATAATATTTTTCTACACTCTAATGTGTAGTTTGTTGCCTTATTGGGATAAATAGGAAATTGAATTTTAATTGTAAGTCGTCATTCTTTTTACAGGACACATTGGCATAACTGTTGATGACACCTATAAAGCATGTGAAAGATTTCAGAATCTGGGAGTTGAGTTTGTTAAGAAACCAGATGATGGTAACATTTTTTTATACTTCCTCCTAGAATTTCCAATATCCTATGCTACGTATGTATAATTTCTATTTATAAATGCTATGGCTGCTTTGTGTTTGAGGTCTGTTATATAGTAGATGACTATCTGAATTATTTCGGCATCCTACTGGGCAATTTTTTTCTGTTTGTTTAGTGTTGTGTCCCCGGAATGATAAAATCTATGTTCATAGATTAGATCATTCAAGGGATTACTTGACTGTGAAATACATAGATTTAAATAGTTTGAAACTTGAGGATGGAATCTAATTCTATAAACATGGGTTTGAATTAGATAAGCTAAGCTTTTATTTGGCCGAATAGCTGTCATACACGTCTGGGTTACGTGGGTTAGAGTTAGGTCTGTATTTTTGGCAAACTTAACAAATCACTTATGGAGTAAGTGGTCATCATTTAAGCACTTGTGTATAAAAAATATTTCTACAATCAAAGAGGGTACATGGTTCGACTATTTTGTAGCTATCGCGGGAAGCTTATTACATTGAAATGGAAACATCTATCGACACGTAAAGTATTTACACAAACAACTTAATAACGCACTTATGGAGTAAGTGGTCATCATCATTTAAGCACTTGTGTATAAGATACATCCTGATAAGCTCTTTCAAACACACCCTATATATAGTTGCCCAAACTCTGACAAGTCCTTTGACCTTAACCACCTTGGTAAGAAAAAACCCTTTCCTTCAGAGAGGAATGGAAGGAGGAGAAATTTTTTTAAACCTTGAAGCACAAGAGACCGGATGCATTCAAAGACATAGCAGCTATGTTAGGTTGTCTAATTATATAACACAATTATAATCATCAGTCACAGAATCACAATTGGGGTACAGCTGGTGGTGCCACCGTTCAATAAACCATGAAAATTGAGCAAAATACAATTGCACAACTTTTTGGTAGTCTGACTCAATTGCTGGCTTCTATTTTTGAGAAAGTAACTTGTGGTATACAAATGTTTAATGTTCTTGGCAAATGTCTGAATTTGGCTGACTCAATCAGGCCACTGCTTGTGTTTCATTGAAGTTTTCAATTTACTTTTGCAGGGAAAATGAAAGGGATAGCATTTATTAAAGATCCTGATGGATACTGGATTGAAATCTTTGACCGGAAAACAATAGGAAATGTAACAGAAGCTGCTGCTTAAGATGAAATCTTCAGGTAGAAACTGTGGTTTCTAATTCCGTTGTCTTATTTACTTATTCATGTTTTTTGTCCTAAAAGTAATGTTGTCCCTACTTCATATTCTCTGATATGAAGAACCAGATTACATGCATGTGAAAATTTGTTTCATTTTTCCGGTTTATGTATAACCATGTGAAATTGCTCTTTCTCCAAATTAGTTTGCTATATGCATATTTGTAACTCAAAAACAAATCTAGTGATTTTATGGCGACTTTTAGCTATATGCATAACTAGCTCAAATAAGTAAACATGATTTTGTATGGTGACATTTTCTGTGTCCCTCCACGTAGTAAAACCTAAGATGCAAATGGTGTAACCTCCCCTTGTTGAAGTTTGTATTTGTGTTGTTGGAGTTTGCTTAAAGTCCCACATTGCTAAGGTTCTCGGACTGTTGATTGTATAAGTATGTGAGGGGCAACCTCACCCTTTGGACTAGCTTTTGAGAGATGAGATCCAAGTGTATTGAGGAACTAATCTGTTAGGATACTACAAGAGTAAGTCAAAAGAGGAGGATGTGTTGGTGGAAGTGGGACATGAGAAGGCCTAAACTGTGGAGAGTTTATGAGAGAGAAAGAAAAAGAAAGAAGTGGAGAGAAATATAAGATAGAAAGAAGTTATCTTTGGGAAGTTATGTTTTTATTTTAAGGATGCAGTTATGTTAAGGCAGATAAGCATTCTGTTTTTATTATTTTAAGTATGCAGTTAATTTGTATTTTGGAATTATGTCATATTTTATATTTTGAAAATAACCGGGACCAGAGATGTTCTCACTCTTTTGAGGAGTGCATATTGTGGGAATTTTGCACTGCCCTGCCGTTTTTTTAAAAATTTATTTCTAAAATGCTATGTTTTTCAAATTAAATTCTATAATGCCACCCTTTTAAAAAGTTGGGTTTTTTTGGCACAAGTGTGCCGATCTTTCAATGGGCGGAACTGTCTTATTTTATTGGGTGCCAGTGTGCTCATGTAGATTTGTTTTTATGTTTTAATTCATTTATATTTATGTATTATATTTAAATTATAAATAATAATTATTAAATTATAAATAGTTATTATTAAATTATAAATAATAATTATGAAATACATAATAATAATAATAATAAAAAATAAAATAGTACATTAAGATAAAATAAAATAAAAATAATTATTTTTAAATAGTACTAATTAAAATAAAATAATACATTGAAATAGATAATAATAATTATAAAATAAAATAAAATAAATAAATTGAAACAAATATTTATTTATTCATGAAATTAAAAATATACATTAAAATTCCTATCCACCCTTAATTAATTTTGACCCGGTCGACGCACAGGCAGGAGTGTGTACATTTCTCAAATCGTCCACAGTTGGTATCGCCGTCGCACTAACTTGGTAGGTTTGAAGGTGACATTGTGTTAGTCATATAGGTGTATGGATGTTGGTTTTGAGATGAATTAAGGGTGAAAGTTTGTTAGTCATGTAGGGTGTGTATGGATGTTGGTTTTGAGATGAATTAAGGGTGAAAGTTTGTTAGTCATGTAGGGTGTGTATGGATGTTGGTTTTGAGATGAATTAAGGGTGAAAGTTTGTTAGTCATGTAGGGTGTGTATGGATGTTGGTTTTGAGATGAATTAAGGGTGAAAGTTTGTTAGTCATGTAGGGTGTGTATGAATGTTGGTTTTGAGATGAATTAAGGGTGAAGGTTTGTAAGGGATAAAAAGGAACTTGTGGTTGGTGCCTTTGGTATTTAAAAACAAACTTACCTCTTGTTTTATCAAAACATATGATGAGTGTTAGCACATCTTACGAAGTAAGAAGGGTGAAACCAAAGGTTCCAAAGGAGAGTGTACTAAAAAAACACACGCAAAACAAACTTAATCATTACCTCCAGAATTGCATCAATCGTCTTTCAATGCCACTTTCACAGATTAAATCTGATTTTCTCACTGAAATAGAAAATGCCACTTTAAATACACAGGATCAACAAGATAAATTATTTGGTTTAGAAGTGATTGTATTAGATGATCTAATACAATCACTTCTAAACCAAGTGGTTTATCTCGTTGGTCCTCTGTATTTAAAGCCGCATTTTCTATTTCAGTGAGAAAATCAGATTTAATTTGTGAAAGTGGCATTGAAAGACGATTGATGCAATTCTGGAGGCAATGATTGAGTTTGCTCTACATGTTTTTTTAGTTAACACTCTTCTTTCTTCATAAGATGTGCAACAATCATCGTTTAGAAGATGTTTTGTTTTGATATGCTTTGTTTGGATGTCAATGGCTTCTCTTTCCACCGTGTTCAATAAAACAAAAGGTAAGTTTAAGTTCCTTTTTATCCCTCACAAATTTTTACCCTTAATTCATTTCAAAGACCAACATCCATACACCCCCTACATGACTAACACAATGCCACCTTCATCCCTACCAAATTGGCTTAATGAAAGATTAAGCTATGGCAGTGCGGCGACGATATCAACTGAGAACGATATGAGTGATGATATGGTCGCTGAATTCATGAACCCTAGCAATGATGCACAACCTTCTACACAGTCCCCCAAACATTGATGTTGATCGTAGAAGGTCCATCATACATGCGCCTGCCTGTGGAATCCCTTACGTCGACCGGGTAAAAATTAAGTAAGGATGGATAAGAATTTTAATGTACTTTTTTAATTTCATGAATAAATAAATATTTATTTCAATTTGTTTATTTTATTTTATAATTATTATTATCTATTTTATTTTAATGTATTATTTTATTTTTATTATTATTATTTATAATCTAATAATTATTATTTATAATTATTTAAATATAATACATAAATATAAATGAATTAAAACATAAAAACAAACCGCCTGTTGAAAGGGCGGCACCCAATAAAATAAGTCAGTTCTGCCTATTGAAAGGGCGGCACCCAATAAAATAAGTCAGTTCTGCCTCTTGAAAGGGCGACACCCTTTGCCAAAAAATTCCATTTTTTTTTAAACTGTGGCATTTAATTTGAAAAACATGGCATTTTGAAAATAAATTTTTAAAAAGATGGCAGGGCAGTGCAAAATTCATATTGTGGATTGTTATTGCCTTTATTTTATAATATATAAAGGGTGCAGTGATAAATTAAATTCTGTTTGTGTTTGTGTTCTCGGTTCTATCAATTGGACATGACCAGCACCATGTTTTATTAAGACTGCCATGGGAAGCGTACCTCTGTGGAAACCGCTTTATCTGTTTGAAGACCCTTGCATAAGTACTTAAAAGGTATTGTAAGTCTGAAGGATACACAGGAACTGAATTTCCCCCCTTAATTTCCATTGCTAATGACCACGCAAATTCATGTGGAATTTGTGCCTCTAATTTCACTAGACTTTGAAAAGTTGCAACACTGCCTGTACTCTGTTGGCCCAGTAACTTAACAATTTTGCCGCCAATAATCAACAGCCATTGACATTTCTCGCCAATCCATAGTTACTTTACCCAAGTATTCCAACCAAACCACACCCAAAATGAAATCCACACCTCCATTACCCAAAGCACGTGCCTGAATAGTGAATCATTTCACCCACCTGTAACAGAATGTTGTCACAACAGCCCACTGTCATAACTTGATGACCATCCCCAAACGGACCCCTAATGGTTTTGAGCATGTTACCGAGAGACCGAGGGCTTTCACAACCATTGGAGAAATAAAATTGTGAGTGGCACCGCTATCAATTAGAATAAAAACCGAAGCCCCAAAAATCTGACCGTTTTGAGTGGTGTGCAGTGACTCTGAGATCAAACAGACCCATTATCTTGCATTCCAGTTCTGTTGAGACAGCATCTGACTCCACCTCTAGAGCAATGATCTCACCATCCTCATTCAATACTTCATCATCCCCAAGAATAATGACCCTGAGTTGTTGACTCCACCTCTAGTGCAATGATCTCACCATTCTCATTCAATACTTCATCATCCCCAAGAATAATGACCCTGAGTTGTCTCGCCGAATCCTGATGAAGAGGGTGCCATCGTTCATTACAATGAAAACAAGGACCTTTTGCCTGCTTTTCTTGAACTCAGTGTAAGGGATATGTCTAGCTCCACAATGGTGTTCATCGTGGCTGCGGTTGGTGATGTCACTGTTCTCGGACCGAGATGATGCCAATGAACTTTAGGGGAGAGTGACGGTCGTGTTGTTGTGTGATGGGGTGGAGTATTTGATCTGCGCTGTTGTGTGTGATCCCGAAGCATTAATGGGGTCGGAATTGCGTTGGGTCCAATACAGTTTTGCATTGTGAGCCCACCAGGGTTGGGTGGCTGTTTTGGATCGCGACCCGACTCTTAGACAACCGTAAACTCTTGCTCCACATCCCTTGTCAATTGCATCGCACCCTGGATCGAATATTATGTTGGAGGCCACCAACAAAGTAGCCCAGGAATTGTTGTTCTGGCAATCGTGGCACTGATGAATACAACAACCCAAACTCAGCAATGTAATCCTCCATAGGTGTAGTCTGTTTCAAATCCTTTAGTTCTTCAAAGGCAAACTGCGGGCCCTTCCATACCCAATTTGGATAATTGAATGCCAATGTCCTAAGATATATGCTGCACTTCGAAATATGTTTCCGCATGCGTAATCCATGCTACTGGATCAGCACCCTTAAATGACAGTAATTCTAGTTTCTTCGCGGATAGGGTGTTGTTCACTCAACAATTGGGGATTCTGGATATCCCTCAACAATTGACGCATTTCCTTGAGAATGGACTCTTTTAGAGTGTCGATGCTCTCTTTGACACGCGCTAGACATGACTCAACCTCCGTAAGCCTCTCCCATTTTTGGTGTAAGTCTATCCCGTTTTCGATGATATGAACAATGCTAGGTCGGACCAATGGACCAATTGATAGAACAAAACACAAATGCGCACAAAATTTGGTTTACTACTGCACCTTTTATATATTAGTATAAATCAGAGACAAAAACAATAACAATCCA